CCCTCAGCCTCCCAAAGGCGCGGGATTACAGGCTGAGCCACCAAGCCTGGCTAAGATGCTGTCTCTTAAAAAAAAAACAAAAAACAAAAACCTGACAAGAATGCTTGAATCCTAGTGGGGGCAGGGCAGGATCATCATGTAGTATGTTCAGTAAAGACCCAGTTATGAAGAAAAATGATGCAGGAAAAGGGGTTGAGAGCTCCAGGAAAGCCCATCTCAAACAATACAGTGAGGGGTGGGGAGGTGGCCTTGTGGAGTAGGTGCCCCAGAGCTGTCACTGGGGAGGGAACTGAGTCAGGTGGCTCTGGGGGGAAGCATTCTGGGCAGGTGGACACAGCCTGGGCTTCTGACAAGGTACTCTGTTCCCTGACCTCAGTACCCCCCAGGCATGCGGCAGCAGGTGTTCCAGTTCTTCAGCAAAGTTCTGGCCCAGGTGCAACACCCCCTGCTGCATTACCTCAGTGTCCACAGGCCTGTGCAGGTGAGGGGCCAGGAAGCCAAGGGTTGTCTGGGCGTGAGGCCCTCTCTCTTCCCTGCCACCTCATTCCCTTCTGTTTCTATCCTGCTTCCCTTCCAGAAACTTCTCCGACTCGGGACAGTTCCTGGGTCACTGACAGAAAAGGAGGAGGTGCAATTCACCACCGTCCTCTGCTCTAAGATCCAGCAGGATCCAGAGTTGCTCGCCTACATCCTAGAAGTGAGCACTTCTGATGGGAACAGGAGGGAGAGGGCTCAGAACCCCAGGGGCAAGCCCCCTTGGCCCTTCTGAGGAGGCAGAGGAGAGAACAGGTACCCGGGAGACACTCAGGCAGCTTCCCCTTCAGCTCCAGGCTGAGACCCTGACAGCAGCCCACCCTGCACTACTGGAAGTCCTGGGGGGTGGTCCCCTCTGCGACTTGGCCTCATCCCAACTTCTTTGCAGGGTAAAAAGATAGGTAGGAAGAAGGCATCCAGAGAACCCATCACCCTGCCGAAAGATGCAGCCAGCCACAGGGACAAGGACCACTCCCACAACAGCGTGCCTGCCAAGGGTCTCCAGCTGGATGGGGAGCCCTGTGGGGCGCAGACCTTGAACATCCTCCTGCCTGCCGGGACTGCAGAGCCAGATGTTGGGACTGGGGAGAGCAACCTGGTCACCTCCTTGCTTGGGCTGTGCAGGAGCAAGGTGCTAGCTGTGGAGATGGAGAGGCTGGGGCTGGGGAAGGACGGGGTGACTGCTGGGTGGGGTCTCAGGGGGCTCGGGTGCATGTCCCTGAAGTGGCATCCCATCCCCTAGAAGAGTCGAGTGGCCCTGAAGGCCCAGGAGAACCTGCTGCTTCTAGTAAGTGTGGCCTCCCAGGCAGCGGCTACTTACCTGGTACAGAGTAGCCCATGTTGCCTCGCGATCGCCGAGCAACTCTGCCAGCTCTACCGGTCCATGCCTTCCTGCCTCGACCCTGCAGATATTGCCGCGCTGGAGGGCATCAGCTGGAGGTAGGCTCCAGCCAGGGAAGGCTGGCCAGCACCTTCAGTGGCAGGTAACTCTGCCTGTCTGTGGTGGCTGCTTCTCTGGTACTCTGGGCTGGGGACTCCTGCCGGCTGCCCTCTTCCTGAGTCACAACTGGTCTCCAAGGGCCTTCTTGCTGCCCAGAAGGACCTTCTCGTGTCTCCAGAAGGCATCACTTTTGGTGTCTGACACAAAACCCCCAAGAGAACTGACCCTCAGCAGTAGAGGGTCCACAGGAGAGAGGGGAGGGACATACTGAGGAAGACCTCAAAGCCCCTCCTTCCCTCTCTTGACATCCCTCCTCCCTCTCCCTTCAGGTTACCCAGTGCCCCATCTGATGAGGCTTCTTTCCCTGGCAAGGAGGCCCTGGCAGCCTTCTTGGGCTGGTTTGATTACTGCGATCACCTTACCACAGAGGCACATGTGGTGAGCAGGGGTGGGTGTGGGCAGGGCTCCCTCACACTGTTCCCTGTGCTGTCTCCATCTCAAGGACTGAGTGGAATAGGTGCTTGGAAACTTGGGGTTCAGGAGCCCAGCAGGGCACCGGGTTAACCGGGTCCCTCTGCCCGTGGCATCAGGCACTGTGCAAGGACATAGACCGTGATGCATGCAAAACATGTTGAAGACATGCTTTTTGGCACCCAGGTGGTTGCAGATGCCTTGGCGAAGGCCGTGGCTGAGAAGTTATTCGTGGAGACCCTACAGCCCCAGCTTCTCCACTTGTAAGTGTCTGTCTAGTAATGCACTTGGCGTAGCTGTGGTCCGGATCAAATCACCTAGCCCTCCAAGCCCCTTCCTTTGCTGAGGCCAGGGACCTTCTTGACCAGAGACCCATTTGTGGACTCCACGGGGTGATGTGACCTGACCTGCCCATGGCTCTGGGGCACTCATGCTAAAGGAAGACCCCCTCCCTTCACTTTAGGACCTTTGTGGGGATGGGGAAGTGACCAGAGACATACCAGCCAAAGATGCGAAGGCACCAGAAAAGGGTCCACCACCCCTGCACTTGCATCCTCCCTGCACCTGCTGCTATCTCCACCTGCCGCTACACCCCAGGCCTGACTAAGGTGTCCTCTCTCCACAGGTCCGAGCAGAGCATCCTGACCTCCACTGCCCTCCTCACAGCTATGCTGCGCCAGCTTCGCTCTCCTGCACTGCTGAGGGAGTCTGTGACCTTCCTCCTGGGCACAGACTGGCAGCCTGAAGCTCCCGAAGACAACCCTGGCACACTGTGCACGCACCTCATCGGGCACTGTGACCACCTCTCTGATGAGGTATAGGGGTGTGGTCTCATCTCTGTCCCCCCCACCTCCCGCCCCTGCCAAAGGGATTTCCTCAACACTTTTTCCTATTTTCATTAGTGTTCCCAGGTGATTCCCAGCCTTGAGGCATTGAACCCCCAGAACAGGGCCACAGCAAGCTGTCTTAGTTTTCAGTGATTGTATACTTCTTATGGCACTTTATATTTTGCAAACTGCTCTGATGCGGGTGAGGTTGATATTCCCATTTTTCAGACATGAAAACTGAGGTAGAGAAGCCACTTGCCTTGCCTGACATCACACATCAAATTAGTAATGCACCAGAGACCCCCCCCAGACTTCTGAATTCCCAGGCCAACACCCTCTGCCTCCCCACTGCCCCCAAAACCTGCACCTTATCCCCCAACTAAGGGAGGCACCCCCCCGCCTGAGAGGCCTCTTCTGGGTCAGCAGTTCCAAGGCAGCCCTAGAAGCCAAGTGGGGAGGGGCCTCCCACCGACCCCCTTCTCGCTGCAGATCAGCATCGCCACACTGCGGCTGTTTGAGGAGCTGCTCCAGAAGCCCCACGAGTGGATCATCCGCAGCCTGATCCTGCGCAACCTCGAGGGCCGCCCCTACGTGGCCCGCAGCTCACCCGAGCCTGAGAACTATGAGGACACCCTGTAAGTGAAACCGGGTGCCCCAGCCCAGCCCTGCCCTCAGCACCCCACGCTCACTCGTGTTTGTTCATTCACTGGTGCCACGCTGGTCTGTCCCGGCCACAGAGATCTGGAGGAGGACCCCTACTTCACAGATGGCTTCCTTGATACCAGCTTTCAGCCCCCTGCAAAGCCTCGCCCGGCTCCGGCCCCCAATTCTGATGGCAAAACGGCAGTGACCGAGATCGTCAACAGGTGGGGAGCAGGTTAGGCAATCAGAGCCGCTTGAATTTGGCCACAGCCCCTATGAGGTCCAGCCGGGGAAGGAGATGGGGTCCCTTGAGCAGGGGGATGCAGGGCGAGCCAGGGGCACATTCCCCACACCAGTTTCTGTCTCTCAGTTTCCTGTGCCTCGTCCCTGAGGAAGCTAAGACCTCCACTTTCCTGGAGGAGACAGGCTATGATACCTACGTCCATGATGCTTATGGCCTGGTGAGTGTTGGCTGCTACCACCGTCCACTCCTTCAATGCCACAGGGCGATAACCTCCGGGTTCTCCCTCTGTGATCTTCCTCCTGGGGAGCCCTGACCTCTCCTGCATGGGGTCCCTCTTGTCCGCTGGCTCCTGACCGAGGCGCCTGCTGCCTCTCCTCTTTGCTTCTATCTCAGTTCCAGGAGTGTCGCTCCCGTGTTGCCCCCTGGGGCTGGCCTCTCGCCCCCACACCCTTGGACCCCCATGAGCCTGAACGGCCTTTCTTCGAGGGTCACTTCCTCCGAGTGCTGTTTGACCGCATGTCCAGGATTCTGGATCAGGTAGCCAGCATGCCTGGACCCACAGGAGAACCCCAGGTGGTGCCTCTGGAGTTCTTTGGGAGAGCAGGGGCTGACCTCCCCTTTGGTTCTTCGCTCCCCCAGCCCCCACTTTTCCCCAGGCGGGAAGCCCCATCTCGTCTCTGCTCCACACGCCCTAACATGTTCTGGCCCTCAGCCCCATGGAATCCATGACACACACATCACATGAGCCTCCCACCCCCGCACACGTTCACACTGGCCAGGCGCCTTGCTGGGGGAGTGCAGAAATGCTCCCTACCCCCTGCCAACCCTCGACGTCCACTGTGTTCCCTACAGCCATACAGCCTGAACCTGCAGGTGACCTCCGTCCTGTCCCGGCTCGCCCTCTTCCCCCACCCCTATATCCATGAGTACCTTCTGGATCCCTACATCAACCTGGCCCCTGGCTGTAGGAGCCTGTTCTCTGTGCTTGTCAGGGTGAGGACACCTGGGCTGAGGGAGTGTGTCCAGCAGGGAATGGGACGAGCGGGAAGGGGACCAGGGCAGGGTGGTTGGGGGTGGAGGAGTGGGCAACTGTGCCAGTGCTGGGGAAGGCACCAGTCTCCCACCCCCACAGTGTGGCAGAACCAGGGAACCCTGCTGGAATGGCACTGGCCTCATCTCAGTCCTCCATGGTTCCCATTCTAGGTGATCGGGGACCTGATGCAGAGAATTCAGAGGGTACCCCAGTTCCCAGGCAAACTCCTTCTAGTGCGCAAGCAGCTGATGGGCCAGGTCCCTGGGGAGCAGTAAGTGATGGAATGTGGGTGCCCAGGGAAAAGCCTTCCAGCGGGAAGGCAGGAAGTGCCTCGGGTCAGGGCACTGGGTCAAGCCTCAAGGACACTGGGCTGTCTTGCTGAGCACAGTCCTGCCGCCTCCTAGCCACACTCCCCTGTGCTGTCTCCCCTCAGGCTGGACCACCAGACCCTCCTTCAGGGCGTGGTAGTGCTGGAGGAATTCTGCAAGGAGCTGGCTGCCATTGCCTTCGTCAAGTTCCCCCCACATGGTCCTCACCGGAACCTCTCCCCAGCCCCGGAAGGGCAAGTGTGAGCCAGGAGCAAGGCAGCGGGGGACTCCGATCAGCACCTCTGCCCCAGAGCTGCCGCCGCCTGGCGCTTCTGCCTGCCTGGCACTGCCGCCACACTGTCCTCCTGGGGTGGGGCCTTCAGCTCCCCTGCTCACTCGAGGAGACCTGGTGTGTTGACAACACCAGACTGGGTTTCAAGGAGTGGGCCTCTCAGGTACCCGGTGCCAAGGAGCCAAGGAAATGGCATCCCCAGCAGGGGTGTCCTTGGGGCCTTTTCAGAGGAGCTGGGTGATGGCCAGGTCGCCCGGACCCTCATGTGCCTGTCTCCCTCTGTACTGGCCATCTGTGGCCAGACCAAGGCCTGTGACTCAGTTCTGGGGCCAGAAAGGGAGTGAGCTGATGACTCCAAGGCTGGTCAGGAACCCAGGTCAGAGAGATGGGGCCAGGAGCCCTGTCTGTGTTACACTGGGTACCACGGAAGCTGCTGAGACTTGACATTTCCCTCCTGCCTCCTTGGCTTGGCCCGTGGAGATGGGGCAGTGAAGGGGACAGTAGGGGAAGCCTCTCTTCCTGCTCTGCCCTCCTGGAGACTGTTGCAAAATTCCCAACCGCCTCATGGCAGGTGCCCAAAACATGCTCCGCGCCCAGGCGGGGGCAGCTGCTAATGAGAACCTTGGTGCAGCTGCAGCCAGGGTGGGGAGGGCCTGGGGAGCCGGGTGCCAGACTACAGCTCCAGCTGGTTTCTCTCTGGCGCCTCCTGAACCCGTCTCTGCAGGTCCACAGCACCTGGGCAGAAAGGTCAGAGACCAGGGGAGGCCGGGCCTCATCCTCCGCCTTTTGCCCAGTGCCTGGTGTTCTCAATGGAGTGCCCTTCCAGGGAGCAAGGAACTCTGGACACAGAGGAGGACAGGCTGCCCCCAGACCCCAGGCCCCTGAGGCCCAGTGGGGAGGGGCTGGGCCCAGGCAGCCTATTCTGGTGTTGTTCTCCCTGCATGCCCTCCGTAGCTGGGGCTGCCACCCCACCCGGCCCGAATCTGTCTCGACCTGCAGGAATACACGGGTGGCGCCAGCCATTACCTCACAGCAGGACTACAGTTGCTGGCGTGGCTCCTGGGCAAGGAGGAGCAGGCCAGAGCCCCTTTCACTTCCTTTCCTGCCCATGCCGCTTCTCGAAGCCAGATGCAGGTTGCCAAGAGGTGACATGAAAGAGGAAACTCAATGACCTCTGCCTCTCCCGCATTCCTCCCAGTGGGGGAAGACCTTACTGCTTCTCTGAAGATCACTCCATGTGCGTCGCAAGTACAGGCGTGCACGTGGGTGTGGACAGGGGAGCAGACCTCCGTGGATGAGTTGGGTCTGCACTTTTAGACTCATAAGATGTGTGAGGGTCTGGGAGTCACAGCCCCTCTGCTCTCCTTGATGCACTTTGGCATTTGCACGGTGTTTTCCCCAGACGGCACAGCAATAAATGGTGTGACTGCGTGGACACGTGGCTCTGTTCTCCACACTTCACGTCCTGCCTGGGGCTCCGCTGTTAATTTGGGCTCATCTTCCTCCACAAGGAGACAAATTAAATTCTTTTTCCAGCACTGGAGCAGGGAGAGGGGGTGCGGGTGGTAAACAGACAGGCTCTGGCAGTGCAAATCTGATGTTCCTCAACGCCTGCCAGGAAGCAGGCGCTCTCTTGGCTGAGCAAGGCCATTTCTGCTCAGCTCACCTACAGCCCTGGGCCTGCTCGTCTCGCAGTCTCGCAGACACTGAGGGCATGGACCGTGTGGGAGCGTCTGCGTGCAAGCCTCATTTTCATGTGTTTATGTTGCGAGTTCGATGACTGTGTTGTAAAGTGGGTCTCATATTTAGGTGTGTGTGGACGGGTGGGAATCCCTCTGAGGGATCCCCAAGAGGACTGTGGGGCAGGGCCAGCCAGTGATCGCTGGGTTGCTTTTGAAAATACCATTGCCCAGTCTCCCCACACTGGTTATAAGTGTTGTGGGGGTGGACTCAGTTTTGTTGCTGAAGCTTTCCAGGTGACTTTAATGTGCACCAGGGTTGTAAACTACTAGGCTAAGTAGTGGAAACAAATATCCTTGCCTGTCTCTGGATATGGGCTGGTGGGTCCCTCAGACGCTGAGAGTAGTAACCAAATAAAAGGGGTTGCTTCCATCGTTCAAAAGATGTCTGTCTTCAGGGTGGAGGAGGATTCCTACCACCCTACAGAGGCCAGAAAGATGAGATGGCAGCCAATGGAGGGGGCTGGAAAAGGGGCCTCTGAGGTTACTCTGGGTCTTAGGAGAAGGGAAGCCCATGCAGTGTTTTCTTGCTCAGAATTAGAGCTCTATACTGTAGATGCGGTGATGAGCACACGATATATTTTCTTTGTTCATTTCCTTTGTTTTTCCCTTAAATTTGAGTAAAGTTCTTCCTTTACTTTTTAGAGACAGGCACAATCAGCTCACTGCAGCCTCGAACTCTTGAACCCAAGTGATCCTCCTGTCTCAGCCTCCTAAGTAGCAGGGACTACAGGCATGCATCACCATGCCAGGCTAATTTTGAAAATTTCTTTGGTAGAAATAGGATCGATATGTTGCCCAGGCTGGTCTCCAACTCCTGGCCTCAAGAGATCCTCCCACCTTGGCCTTGCAAAGCACTGGGATTACAGGCCTGAGCCACTGTGTCCAGCCAAATTTTAGTAAATTTCTTCTATTAAAAATAATCCTACAATGATTCAGCTGCGCTAGGGGAAATGAAGAAAAGGTTTGGTCAGGCAGGCGTGGGCTGAGCTTGTAAAAACGCAGAAGCAGGAGAGTGAGGGAGAGGGGTCAGAGCCAGGAAGGCTCAAGGAGAAAGACACTCCTTGCCTGCAGGGGTCGTGTCGACAGCTCCTGTCCCACCTGAACCTTCCCTGGAGTCCCCACTGCCCAACTATTGGAGGGCTCAGGGATTTTGGGGACAGTCCCGTCACAGTTACATCCCACCCTGGCAGGTGAGGCAGAGAGGCCCCAGTGGGCCTGAGGCACCATGGTGGATAGCAGACCCGCCTGGCCCAGCTACTCAGCACCCAGCAACCAGGCCCCTGCAGTGTCAGTGCACTGTCTGGGAAAGGCCTGGGTAGTTATTGATGACACAAGGGGACCAGCAGCTCTTGGACAGCAGTCTCCCTCAATTCCTCCCCACAGAGACATTTAGGCAGGACAGGCAAAGTGAGCAATGCCTATTTACTCAGCAAGGGGCTCTTCCCTTGTGGAGGCCTCCCCCAGTGCCCCTCCAGGTTCTAAGCACCTGGAAGGACCAGGATGCAGGCCCCGACCAAGGTGGGCACAGAAAGTGAGAAGCAGATGCCATCTGGGGTTCAGAAGGCTCCCCATCCCCTTAGGGAGGAGTGTCAGTGTGCCTTCATGGCAATCAGGGCTTGAGCTCAGGACTCTGCTTGGTTAAAGGCACTGTCTCTTGAGCAACGTAGAATCCCGCCGGGGACCAGGACAGCTCCCCCTGCTCCCAATACAAGATCCCTGACTGCCAGCCCCTGTCTCCCTCAAAGGAAAGCTAAGCTGCACTGGAGGGAGCATGGCCGCCCAGCTCATCACTTCCTCTTCCCCGCTATGTGTTCACTGGGACGACAGAGGACTCCTGAAGCCGCTGTAAGAGCTGGCCTTGTAGGCCTTCCTCCATTACCTTCCACCAAAAAAAGTTCTCACCCTGAACCTTCGGGGGCTCATCCTGGATCCCTGGGTTCCGAAAAGCCACAGTCACCAGCACATTCAGACAGATGCCATCAGTATGGTCTCTGCCCAGGTGCTGCAGTCCAAGCAACCCCTTGATCTCCACCACCAAATGGTGCAGGGTGAGACACTCCTGCAGCAATCGCAGGACAGCCATCTTGATGCCACCCCTCTGTTCCATAGGGGTGAGACCACAGGCAGTGATGGGCAAGTGGGGCATCCCCACTGTGCCTGCCAGCACCCATACTGTCTGGACACTGGTAAAGGTGGCCACAAGCCGCTGGCAGACCAGACTGCAGGGCAGCTCTTTGGGCAGAATGAGAGGGTGTTTGGCTTGCTGGCGATACTGGGCAGCTAGCTCTATCAGGTGCAGAATGTCATGGGCTCGCAGCGGAGTGGGCAGAGAGGTCCGTGGATACCAGGCAGCCTGCAGGGACTCAGCATCTGCCTCCTTGGGAGTCTTGAGAATTCCACCTAGGGGAGATTTGGGGGATGGGGTCTGTGTCGAGAAGCGTGGGCCCCATGGGTCCCGCAGAGCAAACCTGCCCTCAGGCTGGAATCTACTGATGCCAGGCTATACCAGCTAGAGTAGGGCTGGCTGCAGAGGCGCTTGTCTCACCAGAGGACAAGCTGCAGGGGACTGGGGGAGGGGGAGGAGTGAAAGTGCCACCATGTGAGCCGTACCTGTGGGGCGGGCAAGGAACCCAAAGCGGATCCAGGAAGGTCCCCGCTCCTCCACAGACAGCAGTGTCACGGGCTCACAGTGCAGCCCGGCTTCCTCCTTCACCTCCCGCTGCAGTGCCTCCACGATGGTCTCCCCGGGCTCCATTCTCCCAGCAGGAAGGTACCAGGTCCCCCGGCACTCCCTCTTGGCTTCCTGGATCAGTAGCACCTCATCCTGAGGGGAGAGAGAGGATCTTCACCCCTAACCCCCCACCAAAGCCAGACTGGGAGCTCAATCAGCAGCAGCCCGCCCTCGCCCTGACCTGGTGGCATCTCAAACACAGTCGCCCAAGTCTCCCGTTCTGGGGGATACCCCAAAATGGTGAGCTCTCCACGAGACCTGCCTTTGTGTGGCTGGAGGCTGCAGCGACTCCCCTCTGCAATTCGTCCCTCTCTGGATTCACAAAGGCTTCCATTTCAGAAAGGGGCTGCGATCCCTGAAAGCAGCTTCAGGGGCTGGAGACTATGGGCCGTGCAAACACTCCTGTCTGTATCTGTCAGTCACCATGTACCTCTCACCACTGACGGTTCGTGCATTTGTGCCGGGTCTCTGGGGTCTGAAACACGACCCTATCCCCGTTTGTGACCGGGGTCTGGGCTCTGAAACATGACCCTACCCCCACCTCGCCATGCAACCCCGCTTTACTGGGGCCCCGGCCCCTTCTGGTTGGTATCACATCGAGTGTCAGCCCAGGTGGTATCCCTGCCATCCACGGGGCCCTGGCGGACCTTCAAGAGCTTCCGCTCCGGGCGGGGCACTCAAACTCTGGGAGAAGGAAGAAGAATAAAAGCACGGTCCTCTCCGCCAGGAGCGAGGCCTAGCGAGGGGCTCGAGCAGGTCCTCGGGCCTCCGAGTCCTCCCCCGGCCACGGGGACGCCCGCAGGGCCCAGACGCAAGTGTGGGTGCTTTGCAACACTGGGACGCGCCGCGCACACGCCGGCGGCGGCGG